GCCAGGGTCCTTATATCTTGGTACCAAAAGAAAAGTATATTGTATCACACCTTGTGTCCGGTGACTTATCAACTTCAACACCAAGCAAGGCTGCCCAAGGCAAAGAAATGAAGACAAGAGAAAATGTTTTATCAGAATTCATATTCCTCACTCTCATGTCCATTCCATCCATACCTGGGTCCTATCTCGATATATGACCCTTCCTCTGATCCCCAGGGCCTCCTCTGTACATACATCCCATCATCTGATCCTTCAAGTGGGTGGATCTTTATTGTTGTATATAGACATTTGCATACTCGTAATACCACATTCTGATTGGACGACCACTGCCGCCTAGCGATTGGCGGGTTAACAACTGTTGCGATTGGTCCACCAACGGCGGGAAGTTTAAAACGATGCCATTGGCCGCGAGCCGAGAGCAGCTGCTATTAAAAAGGCTACCGCGGCTCGAGTTTAGTTGAAGTTACTGACGCTTAATAAAGAGCTGAATTCAACTCCAGTCTCGAGTCCGTCTTTTGTTCCACAAAAGAACACTGGCGACGAGGATGGGATTGAGAGGAAAAAGACTGTAAGCACGTGGCAACAAGAACCAAGCAATCAACGAGATGGCCGGAAATAACTCGCCACCCGCACTGTTCAACCCAGCCGAAGAAGACTGGGAGTCATATATCGACAGGTTCCTGATGTTCTTAGAGAGTAACGAACTGCAAGGAATCACTGACCAGAGGAAGAGAGCCGTATTCCTGACGCATTGTGGCCCTACAATCTTCAAGATGGCCAAGGCATTGGCCAAACCTCATGATGTCAAGCAGATGGCATGGCCAGATCTGAACCGGATACTGAGAGCCCATTACGCACCGGTTGTCTCCAACCTCATCTGAAGACACGAATTTTATAAATGAGACCAACGAGAAGGCGAAAGTATCGGGGATTTTGTAGCAGCACTAAGGGACATTGGAGGAGCATGTGAGTTTCTCAACATGGACGAAGCCATGAGAGACCGCATAGTACTAGGATTGAGAGACACTACTTTACAAAGCAAACTGCTGAACCGACCCAACATCACCGTGAACGAAGCTATGGCCAAAGCCACCGCAGCCGAAGCAGCAAAGAAATCAGCGGCTACGATGCAGCAAATGAACACGACCAACCGAGAAACACAGAACAGTCCAAACCAAAGCCGGGAAAAGAAAGCGGAAGGTACCCAAAAACACGCTACCGCGACCACCCACCATGAAGACATCGCTTCCTCGTCCGACACTGAAGACGAAGACGAGGAAATACATAGGCTTCAGTCGGAACGAAACCGGCGAGAAAAGAGAGGAAGGAAGCCCGAGTTTCAGTGTGCCGGATGCGGAGGAGACCACCGGTGTTCAGAGTGCCGTTTCTTGGACGCCATCTGCAGACACTGCGAAAAACGGGGGCACATTGCAAGGGTCTGCTGAAACAAAAAGAGCTATAGTCCAAAAAAAAGAGGCACCCCCCCCCCCCCCAGAGCTAGAGAAAGACAGACCGGGAGTCGCTGGAGCCGAGAAAACAGAAGCAAGCGAATCAACGAAAAAGAAGAAACACACCAAAGTTTCATCATTGGAAATGCCAGAACAACCGATGCAAAAAAGGTTCGCATAAACGTCAAAATAGAAGGGCAACCTTGCGAGATGGAGGTGGACTCCGGCTCATATCTGTCAATGGTATCATGGAACACAATAAAAAACCTGATACCCGACATCCAAAGAAAAGAACTCGAAGAGCAAAGCTTGACGTTAAAAGATTACCAAGGGAACAAGATTCCGGTAGTTGGATTGGGACATTTCAAAATAAATTTCAAAAGACATACCGAAGTCCTGCCATTGACAATCGTCGACCGAGATCGCCCCAGCCTGTTTGGTTTAGAATGGTTCTCACCCTTAGGAATCGAGGTGACAGGAATCAACAGCGTCTCCGAGACGGACTGGGAAGAAAGCCTGATGAAGGAATTCCAGGACGTATTCAACGGGACGCTAGGCAAGTACCGTGGGACCCCTATATCATTTAGTCTGAACCCGAACATAGCCCCCATCCGGTTAAAAGCCAGACGCGTCCCCTTTGCCTTAAAGCCAAAAATTGATGAGCAACTGAACAAACTCATCGCACAAGGGGTACTAGAGCCAATCGAACATGCAAGATGGGAAACCCCGATTGTAACCCCCGTGAAACCAGATGGGTCCGTGCGCATCTGTGGTGACTATAAGGCCACCCTAAACCACGCATTACAGCAGAGCGCATACCCCGTTCCAGTAGTTCAGCACCTTTTGCACTCGTTGGGGGGAGGAAAAGTTTTTGCAAAGCTTGATCTCGCGCAAGCATATCTACAATTGCCGGTTGATCCCGAGACGGCAGAGGCACAAACTATTGTAACGCACAGGGGGGCATTCAAATGCAACAGGCTGCAATTTGGTGTCAGCGTGGCCCCAGGCGTTTTCCAAAGCCTAATGGAGTGCCTCCTACAAGGACTAAAAGGGGTGGTCCCTTATTTTGATGATGTATTGGTATCCGCCGGAAATAAAAAGCAACTAAAAGACCGGCTAAGAGAAGTCTTGCAAAGATTTAGGGAAACAGGACTCAAAGTCAAAAAAGAAAAATGCCAACTTGTTACAAATCAGGTCGAGTTCCTGGGATACCTTATTGATGAAGCAGGAATCCACCCCACCGGAAAAAAAAAGAGCCATAAAAGAAGCACCCAGACCAAAAAATAAAACAGACTTACAGGCATTTTTGGGACTCATTAATTTTTACAATGTCTTTTTGCCACAGAAGGCAACAATAGCGGAACCACTGCACAGACTACTCGATAAAAAAGCCACCTGGACCTGGGGCCAACGAGAAGCCGCATTCCAGGGAATTAAAGACCTAACAACGTCCGAATCTGTATTAATCCAATACAGCGACACGTTACCACTGACTGTCACCTGCGACGCATCACCATTCGGTGTGGGCGCCATACTCAGCCACACACTACCCGATGGCAGAGAGGCACCGATCGCCTTTTACTCTAAAACGCTGTCAAAAGTTGAAAGAAACTACAGCCAAGTCGATAGAGAAGCCTTAGCCGCCATATCGGGGGTGAAACGGTTTCACAAATACCTGTATGGTAGGACATTTTCCTTAATTACTGACCACAAGCCACTGTTAGGAATTCTGGTGGGAAACAGAGCCACCCCCAACATCCTATCACCAAGGATGACACGGTGGTCAGAATTCCTTGCAGCCTACAACTATAAACTCGTCCACCGATCAGGAAAAGCAATACCCTATGCCGACGCACTGAGCCGCTCAACTCTACCAGACCGGGACGACGACCCAGCTCCTACCACGTCAACACTCCAAATTGAAACATTACCAAATCTGCCTATCACCGCATCAGACATCGCAAAGGAAACAGCAAAAGACGCATTGATGGCTCGGATCCTGAACTGGGTAGGAAGGGGCTGGCTGGAAAACGATAAGAACGAAATTTTTAAACCCTTCAGAACCCGGCAAACTGAGCTGTCAGTTGAGAAAGGATGTATACTTTGGGGGGATAGAGTTGTTCCAAAAAAACTACAGGAAGAAGTGCTGGGCATGTTGCATGAAGGATACCCGGGTATGGTAAAGATGAAGTCCCTGGCCAGAAGCTACGTCTGGTGGCCAGGGATGGACAGAGACATTGAAACATGGGTGACAACATGCAATAAATGCCAGAAGTCCAGACCTACTCCCCCACTAGCACCGGTCCTCGACTGGGAGACACCAAGAGGCGCCTGGTCGAGGATCCACATAGATTTCGCCGGACCCACAAAAGGATATACATTTTTAATCGTTGTCGATGCCTACTCAAACTGGTTGGAGGTCAGCGTCATGAATTCCACGACAACTGAAGCCGTCACCAAACAACTAAGAAAACTTTTCGCCATGCATGGGTTGCCGGATCTGCTAGTTTCAGACAATGGCCCCCAGTTCACAGCCTTAGCTTTTGAACAATTCCTCGCAGAACAGGGCATACGACATGCCCTGACAGTGCCAGTTCACCCGGCATCAAACGGAAAGGCGGAACGCATGGTTAGATATACGAAAGAGGCATTGGAAAAAATTGACACAGGTGACATTCAAGACAAAATCAATACAATGCTCACAATCCAACATATAACGCCGAGCACATCGATGAACAAGAGTCCAGCTGAACTGTTAATGGGCAGAAAATTGCGGACATATTTGGATAGGTTGCACCCCACCTACAACCCTGAAAAGCCACCAGACTCCTCCAGTAAGTACCGCACATTTATACCAGGCGACCTGGTATATGCAAAAAATCTTACTGGAGACCCATTGTGGCTACCGGCCACAATAACGCAAATAACAGGGCCCCGGTCATACCGGTTGGAAACGACAGATGGCAAGACCTGGAAGAGGCACATCGACCAACTACGGTCTCGAACTATCGAACGGATCACCAACACGCCCCGAAGCACAGAACATGCACACACACAAAATCCAATAAATAATAACAAAACCAGAGGGGGGGGGGGAACCATCATATATTAAAGAAAGGGAAGACCCTCCATTAACAAGACAAAAAACAAATCACCAACCCGTTCCAGAAAGCCCAACAAAAAATAAAAACTACTTACCGGAAGGCGAGTTCGGGAGAAAGGAGCTGGAAGACACCCAAGGAAGGAGCAGCTGAGCTGACTCAACCTGCCCGGAAAAGCCAGGAGGGAGCGGCAAAGCCGACTCAACCGGCCCGAAAAAACCAGGCGGGAGCGGCATGGCTGACTCACCCTTCTAGGAGGTTCCAGAGAGAAGAACAGGAGAGACAGCGATCCCATCCGAACTGACCGAAGTCAACACAGAGACTGAGCTGCGCAGGTCAAGTAGGAACCACAAAAGCCCCGCCTGCTTACGTGACTATGTAACGTAGCGTTGGACCGAACCAAGAGCGAAGGGGTGTTGTATATAGACATTTGCATGCTCGTAATACCACATTCTGATTGGACGACCACTGCCGCCTAGCGATTGGCGGGTTAACAAGTGTTGCGATTGTTCCGCCAACGGTGGGAAGTTTAAAACGATGCCATTGGCCGCGAGCCGCGAGCAGCCGCTATAAAAGAGGCTGCCGCGGCTCGAGTTTAGTTGAAGTTACTGACGCTTAATAAAGAGCTGAATTCAACTCCAGTCTCGAGTCCGTCTTTTGTTCCACAACAGAACATTTATAGTTGCTGTAACTTTGAAGTTTGGGATTTGTGCAATATGGGCTTTGTGTTCTGAAAGGGTGTTGGGTAATTCTTATTGTGGTTGATGGCTATGTCCTGTGTTAGATTTTTGGGTGAGGGGCTGTTTGCTCTAGTCCTATCACTCTGCTTTTCTTAGCTGTTGAAATTGTTGTAAGGGGTTTCAAAATATCCTGTCTTGAATGGACTTCTGCCAGCAGTATTTGCTTTGCTTATGAATGGAGCAATCTAGATAGTTGGCTTCCTCTTTCAATAAGTGCCAGCATCTGCAGATAGCTTTTTGTTACAATGTTTTCTTCAGGTGTCTGGCTGGAATGTGGAATGGGCTTCAGGTAGTTTTTTTATTAGCATCTTGGTCTTTTGGCTTTTCTGAGGCTTTTCCTTATGATTAATATTTTATTTGGGATAAAGGGGGGGAGGTTGATTTGTTCTTACAGTATCTATGCTTCACTGTAAGCTCTTGCGGTTAAACTGTCAGCTGGCGTGTTTCTATCAGCTACCTTTTCTTTGTAAGACCGCAGACATTTCCTGCTTTTTTAACCTTTACTCTTTGTTATTCTAAGCCACATTATTTTTCAAAGTACATGTTCTTAAAAATGTTAAATTAGGCCTGATGCAAATACACTTCATTATTTTCCACAGTTGTAAGCCGCCCAAAGTCACTGACAGTGAACTAGGCGATTACAGGGGTGGGATTCGACCGGTGTTACTTCCGGTTCGGTGACCACGTTTTACTAATTCCTAAATTAGTTTGAATTTTTAACGGAAATTTTCCAATACTAAACAGTCAGGTTGCAGCAGCTTAAACTGGAATCTAGCCCAAATCTAGTCAGCACTCACTAGCAAGCAGAACACAGACTTAGCCTTTTGAAGTTTATTTATTTTTTATTTATTTATTTATTTTATTTATTTGATTTGCCAATTGTTTACAAGATAATAAGTATAAATGTATACATAGTTGTGAATACATGAAATGGTTACATATAAGAAAAATAAAAGAATAAGAGAAACAATAGGACAGGGACGGTAGGCACGTTGGTGCGCTTATGCACGCCCCCTACAGACCTCTTAGGAAAGGGGTGAGGTCAATAGTAGACAGTCTAAGGTTAAAGTTTTTGGGGTTTGGGGAAGAAACTACAGAGTCGGGTAGAGTATTCCAGACATTGACCACTCTATTGCTGAAGTCGTATTTCCTGCAATCAAGTTTGGTGCGGTTTACTTTCAGTTTGTATCTATTGTGTGCTCTTGTGTTGTTATGGTTGAAGCTGAAGTATTCATTGACAGGTAGGACATTGCAATGTATGATTTTGTATACCATGCTTAAGTCAGACCGAAGACGGCGTAATTCAAGGTTTTCTAGTTCTAGAATTTCAAGTCTGGTGGCATAAGGTATCCTACAGCGAGTAGAGGAGTGGAGAACTCTTCTTGTGAAATATTTCTGGACTTTCTCAATTGTGCTAATATCAGATACGTAGTGTGGGTTCCAGACTGATGAACTGTATTCGAGTATTGGTCTAGCAAATGTTTTGTATGCTCTGGTTAGTAGTGTGATATTACCAGAGAAAAAGCTACGTAGGATTAGGTTAACAACTCTTAATGCCTTTTTGGCTATGTAGTTGCAGTGTGCTCTAGCACTTAGATCATTAGAGGTGAGTATTCCAAGGTCCTTTACAGAGCTTGGGTCATCAACAAGATCTTGACTATTCAGCTTGTATTTTATTTTCTGATTTTTTTTGCCAATATGTAAGACAGAGCATTTATTTGTTGAGATTTGAAGTTGCCATTTGTTTGACCATTCGGATACATAGTCAAGATCTTTTTGTAGGGTAGCAGTATTGTCTGTGGTATTGAACAGCTTTACATCATCAGCGAAGAGAACGCAATTGCTCTTAATATGATCACAGAGGTCGTTTATGTAGAGTATGAAGAGAGTTGGTCCTAGAACACTGCCTTGGGGAACACCACTATTGACAGGTACTGGATTTGATAGGACGCTCCCGATTTTGACCATTTGTTGTCTGTTTGACAGGAATGCTTCTATGCAGTTATTCAGTTGTCCAGAGATACCATAGGATTTTATTTTTAGGAGTAGTTTGTCGTGTACCACTGAATCAAAGGCTTTACAGAAGTCTATGTAGATTGCGTCTATTG